ACTGCAGACCGGGGAAGGTCTCTACTGGCCGGAGCGACGGCCTTATATACCCGCTCGCCCCACTCGGCGGCCGCATTCCGATGACGTGTTGCGGCCGGCGGCTCGATGCGCGGACGATCGTTGCGGCCGATCGCGCAAGTAGTAACATGGGTTAAACCCATGTTACACATTTTAAAAAACAAAGTTGACCTTTATATGACCTTCAATTTTACCTTTATCAAAAACTCAAGCCCACCATCTTGTGTCCCCCTCCGAACCCTACAACTTTTGTCTGAAACATTTTTCTCTAAACTCAACAGCGTTTGAAATATTCGCCTGGCTAGATTAAAATGAAACACCCTGTATACACGTGCTGTATTCTGTTTGAATTAATTGATTGCGCCAGAGGCGCTTTCTCGGTACGTGTGTAAGACCGAGAAGTTTAAAAGAAAAATTGACGGGCGCGGTAAGAAATTACCGGCCGCGTCTTTGTATATTGAACGGGTCCTAAAAAGGACGGTTCTATTGAATTAGCTCGTTGCAGCCCCTTTCCTAGTGCTGGAGGAACTCCATTTGGAAAGTGCTCTTCCGTCTTGCAGCTGCTCTCTGAGCACGCTCTAGGCGGCGAGATCTGGATGGCCACGGAACGAGTTTCCGGTGTGCCTAAAGATGCAACCGTCTCGGCTCTCGGCGTAACAGAATGTTCTGTGTACCGAGGAGAGAGAGAGGTCTCCGAATTCGGATGTCGCCAGCAACGAGAGTGTCCCTTGGTGGCCGAGTCAACCGGACGCAGAACTCTAGGGGAATTAGCTTCCACGCTAGAGTCTGAGGAGGTGACGGCGGTACTGATAAGTCAGCGGGCCGCTTGGTTGAAGTGTGCGGCTGAAGCTGGGATTCTGTTTTTCTTTTACGTGCCTTGCAAGGCAACGTAAAGAGAAAAACGGCGAGACAAATTTGCCTCTGGTTACGCTCTGCTAAAGCAGAGTAAGACTCAAGTCAAGGGCCCTGTAGAGAGCTCGCCTTGAAGCGAGTGAGTGAGGAAAAATCTAGCGGAGAAGCTC